CGTCCGTGACAGGTTCTCGAATAATTGCACGATAAAAGCACAATTTACTGGTTTATCCGTCGAAAACCGTGAGACCTCGTCGGCTTCCTACTACATATCGCGATAAGATTGTCCATGTTCTTCCTAACCGTCCTCCAAAAAGATGCGGGTTATCGATTCGAGTGTGTACGAAATCAGTCATAAAAGCGTCGGACCTTGTACTGCATTAGGAAAGGAAGTTACTTCTCGTCGATGTAAATGAAACCTCCATTAACTCTTTCAGGCACACGGTTATGAAAGAATAATAAAATTCAAGCAGCACAGAGGAACAGTGTCAACTTGCTAACGCGTTTTGACTATTATGCATTTCTGATTCCACTTATTGTACTTTTAACGTTAGTTCATAGTATTGCCACACGAATGAAAAACTTTAAATAAAATAGCAAAGCTAAGGTGGGATAATTTTCTTCAACCCACCTAACTTCAAAGAGTTAAAGTACAGTGGCGTGGATAATACAGGTTCAAAGTAGGTTCTCTGATTTTGGTAGGAGGTTTGACGAGGAAACAAATATTTTATTACTTCCAAAAATGCTATAACCGACGGAAATTATGACTAAGTTGTTCAAACTTCTTAATATTTTCAAATATTAAAACTAGTTTTGGTCTGGATACTTTCGAACATATTCATCTGTCGTTCGTGCAATCTTCCACATTCTTTACATGTGCTTTCGTCGAGACCGAAATGTGATCCACATTATTGGTTTATGCCCTAACGTTTACGCATCGCCGTTGACATTACTAATAAAATCATATCGCATTCGCGCTCGCGACATCAATAACAGTTTTGCAACGTTCCCTATCAACAAGCGTTTCAATTAAAAGTTGAATCGCAACAGTCAACGGGCCGTCCGTTCTCATCATCATTAACAACGTTCGAGGAAGGCGCAGCCGGCGGCATGCAAATTTCGCGATAATTGGCGAAGCGCATCGTACGTACGGCTCGGCAATATCGCGATGAAATCGCGACGAGCGGATCGATCATCGTGACTTTTACGACGGGATCGGCTTATGTGCAATTTGTCATAGACAAGATCTTCCGTTTCAAAGAGGGATCCGCTTTGCGAGCGAATCGACGCGTCCCTCGCGCGAACTTTATGATCTTATTAACGGGATCGCGATCGCTAAATTTCCCCCGATGCGGGGGCGTCAGCGTCATGAAGCAACGTTGAAGGGAATCATTCCACAAAAAGACGAACATTTCCGTACCTCGACTTTAAGGATTTTTATGATTAGGCTAAACAAAGGACACGTGACTATCTTTCCTCACAATTAATGACTAATGCTCATAAACACCCGATTTTACACTATTCGCGAATACTTGTGCGTAAATTAGTGAGCTACCCAAAACATGAGCCATGGAAATGAGACGCGTTGTTTTTAGCTGTTCCACTAAATATATAGAGAGTGGACCTTCCCTCAGCCATAGCCTTTTTGGAAGTCAAGCAAAATTACTTTGGATCTATATTATTCACACCGCTGTACTTCGATGGGGGTGACATTACGCGTTCGGCTTCTCCTGACATGTTCCACATAAAATGCATGACCGAGGACGGGTATACTGTGCGCAATGGTACGCAATGTCGGAGTGGCCCTGGTCAGACACTCTAGAAAGGAAATGTCAGGCAAACCTGTCCTTCGTCGATTTGATTTGATCATGTCAGACAAATTCTTGATCAATTTAATGGTTTAACATTTTTAGTATATCATATACGTATGTATAGTCAATTAAAATGCTCCAAGAAAAGAAATATTTCTGCAATTGCTAAACTCTAACGACCAATGTATTAATAGAAATATTTTCTTTTGCACTCCTCCGCCCCGTCTGAATGTTAAGGCGTCTCCACAAGGGGTCGTGCCCCCTCGCCCGTCTTCTTTGAAAAAACACTGCCGTAACGTGTTAATCGAAACGGGTCGCCGCGTGATCGACCCCAGGCAGCCTCGTAAAATTTTACGATCTTCTATTAACGGAACAGCCCGGTGTAATGAGCGCGCAGCTTCCTTGCGCGCTCAACCTGTCTCAGGTGTCCGTGCCATTGGCTCGGGGCCCCGAAAAACATCCAACGTTTTCCTGGATCCCAGGACTTTATCGGCTCGATCAAAGGGATCGTAATATAACTTTGACACGAGACCGAACCCGGTGTCATCTCTTTCCCTTGACAGCTTCGCTATCTTGTTCCCTTAGGGGGACGGTCAATCCCATTATCTAACTGACTGGTCACCCGGGCGTAAAGTGGGCAGTCCTGTCCAGGAAGCAATCTTCGATCTCCGGTCGATCCTGGTTTTCTTTGGGGATCTTCGAAGAAACTCTGTGACATCTTCATCTTCGTTCGTTTGCCATTTTGAACGTATTCGTTAGCCGATCATCTCGTACGAGTCATCTCGTCTCGAATAGTCAACTTTCACGAGATATTTAACCATCCTTATTTAAACGAAAAACCCTCTACGTGAAATATCGAAAATAAAACACACATTGCAAGATTTAGAAAACTTGCTAACCTTGCCCCACAGACAGAGTAAATTGAAGCACCTGAAATACGTCATTCTTAGTCTTCAGACTACAATATTAACGTATTAAAGTGAAAAAGTGTTGCAAGTAACCCCAATTGACGGTATTGTAATCCCTTGCAGGAGGCTTAACTGTACGGGTACAAATCGATTCGTACGCGAAACGCGGTTCGGTAAATAATTTGACTTGCGTATAATTGAACGTTACGACCGGCCGTCGACGCGAGGAAGACGATAACAACGAGGCCATCATTGCGCCATCCAGAAAGCGAGTCGTTACCGAATTATTTCGAGGAGAGACTGACAGGCAGTACCAAAGCGCGATGGTTAGGGGGCCTCCGCGTACAATGCGAATCTGTAATTATAAGCGCGCCGTCTTCTGGCTGCGAGTTCACCCCGCCTCTGTTTCTTTTTTGTTCGCGTAAAATCGCTTGCAGCCCCGTATTATCGCCTTAAATCAACAGAGCCGCTCCTACGAGCCGGTACCAACGCGGACCGAAAGGAGTTCCGTGGCCATGGACAACCGAGAGGGGGCCCCCCGAAACCGGGACGATGGCACGAGAGGGACTTTAATAGTAGGTCTCGCTTAATAACCCACGTCCCGAAGCCCAAACTGATTGTCATTGCAGTAGATTCCATCACGTGAGTCGGCAATGTCAGTGTAACGCCTCAATGGCGTAGCGAGTTGCTTCGATCGAGAATCTTTTCTTCGTGATCGATTTCCACTTCAAGAACGCCGCTACAGCGACGTACATATGTACGCAGTTTATTCCATATGGTTTATTCCGCAACTTCGTAAGTGTCGCTGCAGCAACGTGTATATTTATTCCACAACTCCAGACCTACAGTCCACCACACCTACAGTGACAATACGCAGTGTACTTCACATTCTTGTTGCGAAAAAAAGTATCGTCGATTCTTCTCGTTGGTTCAAATTATTTCCAATAAAGTAAACAGCGTTGAAAAGCGAACTAATTGCTGTAATTTTTCTTTTTTTTTTTTTGCTGTCTATGAAGATGAGTGAGTGAGTCTTACTCATAAGGGTGCGAAATCGTATAACTCGACTATAACACTTAATGTGCCAATCTTACATTTGTTCGTTCTTTACATTCATTTCATTTTTGCTTTACATTACTTTGCATTTGCATTTCCTCAGATATCCCTCTCGGTAATTCTATAAAAATGTAGTCTGTAGTCCAGTAGTCTGTTGGAACTCCTGGCCCCCCTTATAGCTCGGGTACCTCGGAATTGCTATGCCCGTACTGTACCTACAATCAAACATACCTACAGCCCCTGAGGGGTGGTTATATTAAGATAAACAGATTGAACTGAACTGAACTGAAAAACTTTTTTATTGGTTAGTCCTTTAACGGATTGTTTAACCCTTACATCTTATTTCATAAAGTTACCTTATTTCCTATCTATGTAACAATTTAAATTTATCCTCTACCTTTTTTTTTTTTTTTTTTTTTTTTCTTAAGATGAACAAACTTTAAACCTAAGGTCAGCGCCCCCGGCGGCAAAATGCCCAAGTTTGTAATGAAATAGTTCCCACTATCGTTACTAGAGGACGGCACCATATCTATATATCGACACTAAATAATTATCAATGGATCCGCAGGGATTTGCACTTACCAATAAAACAAAGATACTATTGTAAGTTATATAAGGTAGAGATAGATCCACAGAATCTAAATACCCGTATTTTTGCAATAAACTAACTGTACTGGTACTGAAATCGTTTTAAAATAACTAATTGATGCTAAACACTTTATTCTAAGAATAATGATAACAACTATAATATATATAAGCAACAGTTTTTCTATTTAGTTTGACAATGTATAAAACCTACTGTGCAATAATCTGAATGTGTAACTTTTGACTGATAGATTAAAACTAGTCCAAAATTTATTTTCTAGATACATTTTTTAAGACGCATTGTTTGTAATAAACTGCAATAATAATCAAATAAGTTATGTAACTATTGTGAACACGTATTGACTGTTGGTAAGTACATAATTAGTGGCGTTATCTACCATCAAACCTGAAAATTATAACATTATACACTTGGACATTTTGCCACCGATGGCGCTGTTCGTACAATTCAAAATTTGTTTGATCTATTCACCGCTAAATGTTAATAAGAGGAATTGAAAATATTTTTTGCATGATCGGAGTACTTGCATGTAAAGTGTAAGGAGTAGTATCGATAAGCCTCGGAAATACGTTCTAGCTATGCATTTGTAATGTCTACTAACGCCGCCTACCTATCTCTGAGTAACTAAGAGCATGGATTCATGGTATTACATCTGAGTTTGGACCTTCTGTTCGTCACTAGTAACTACAGGCATGGAAAGACCATAATTTTTATGAAAGAGTAGCGTTACATCGAATGTTTTATTATACCGGTTCTGCTGATTAATAGAAATAAACGTTAATAGTAAATTACATAAATAGAAACATGTTGTCACGATTGTGTGTAAACACTGGCCGAAAATTACTGTTAAGTGCAAGTATAAATTCTCAGGTAAATCGTAATTTTGATCTGTCTTGAGGTTACTGTACTTCGAATCATTTAAAACAAAATTCTTCTACATTAAACTGTAACTCTGTTCAGAAAATAGTAAAATGCAAATTCAGTCACCTCACTCTTCATACGACAAGCATTTCGTCACGGAACAATTGTGCATTCAACTTCCACAAACATTTGAAAATTATCGGTATTTGCTCCGTTCGACATCAAAGCACAGTTGATACAACGAAAGAGGCAGTATTAAATACACAGACAGGTGCAAATTTTTACGCAATGTTTCAGTGTTAATTAGCCGTATAGTTAATATGAAATTACAAATAATTGAACAATATCAAAACAGATTTTAAGAAAGTCTGTAAATTTTAGATTCATCGGTATCAGATATTCAGAAAGTAGCAGCAAACACAAGTGATACAGTAACAGACAAAGTATTTATAAGTGAATTACCAGGTGAATTAACATTATACTTATTTGTGCAAATGCTTTGGTTTGAAATTATTGAATAGAATGTAGAGTGAGAGAAATATGTTCAACTTCTATAATATCTCTTGTAGAGATACCTGTACCACAAACTCAAGAAATAATAGAAACTATTGTTAAGCTACATCCAAATGGTGAGCCTACATTAGAGAGTATAGGATTAGGTGGATATACTCCTGTTGGACTTGTACAGTCTGCTTTGGAATGGATTCATATTTCCTGCAACATGCCATGGTGGTCCACAATTATGATAGGCACTGTCATTTGTAGAACACTACTATTTCCATTGGTTATAAGAACACAAAGATATACAGCCATGTATCGAAATAATTTACCAGAAATGGAAAAATTACAGACAAAAATGACTGAGGCAAGACAATGTGGAAATGAATACGAAGGTCTATATTAAATATTCTAACGTATTAACTCTTAAATAATTGATCTTATCACTTTAAAATTAATTTTGTTTTTAATTTCAAAACCAGTATAAGAAAAAGAATATTATATTTTTATTTCCAGCTGCTATGCATGCCCAAGACTTGATGAAATTTATGTCTAAAAAAAGTATAAATCCTCTAAAGTGTTTTACTGTAGCTGCAATACAGGTATGTATTTCATAATGAATAACCTTATCCCTTGAAATAATAACCATTTGTGTTTGCACATTTACCAGATGCCAGTATTTTTGTCATTCTTCTTGGCCTTAAGGAAAATGGCTAATACTCCAGTTGAAAGTTTAAAAGAAGGTGGACTATGGTGGTTTACAGATTTAACTCTTGCTGATCCATATTACTTACTACCTTTAATCACTTCTGTAACATTGTATGTAACAACTGAGTTTAGTATACTAGGAGCAACTGGTCCCGGTGGTATGGGAATGGGAAAATATATATTTCGATTTCTACCGATACTTATGTTTCCATTTATAATGAACTTTCCAGCGGTAAGAAACGCATATTTAACATGTTTAAAAATAAACAATCTACATTATCTTAAACTGTCTTACTGTTTTTAAAATGTATGTTTCAGGCCATTTTATGCTACTGGGTGTCAACAAATTTTTTTACCTTACTCCAAGTCACATTTTTGAGAATCGAAAAAGTTAGAAAATTTTTTGATATACCAATTGAAGTAAAGAAGACAACACCAAAGCTTCCTTTAAAATTAGAAAATATCAAGGCTGGAATAGAAAATTGTAATTTCAAATCAGAATTGCAGAGTTGATACAATGTTTCATAGACTAAACTTCAAATTTTTTTTCAGCTTGGAGTAATATTAAATTAACTAGAAGACTATCGGATCACATGCGTGCTGATGCGATACAATTTAATCAAGCAGGAAAAGCCCCTTTAAAGAAAACGTTCAAATATAACCCAATAAAAACTCCACCAACAGCAACAAAAATTTTGACAAAAAACAGATAATACTTTATATATGTAACCTTTGCTTGTAGATAAAATTATATTATTTAACTTATCATAACAAATTGATTATAATGGTTCTATATTTTAATAATAAATAATTGTAAATCTAATCATTGAAGTACACAATTCATTAAAAATTTTGTCTATAACATTTAATAATTAATTACAACTAGCAGTCCATTTAATACATTACATGGATACTGACAAAAATACTTTAGTAATTCAAATGAAGTAGAATAGCTTCAATTGATATATTTTTTTGGTATACATACTTTACCTTAGAATTATAATGCTATTAACATTTAATTCCAATGCATTGATTAATTACTTCAAGTAGATGATTGTTCTCAAGAGCTGCTGCCACTCTTTCTTTGTCAGCCAGTTGTTTATTTACTGCTGCTTCTGACATGTGAGTTCCTGGTGTGATTTCAACATTGACTTTGAACCTTGATGGTAAAGCTCGTAAAAGTTGTACTCGAATCGATAAACCAATCAATGTTGCCATACTGCAATGTGGTATTGTTGGAGTAAATAGTATATGAACTTTGTTTGCTTTATTGTTAACCTGCAATGAAATATACTTGTCAACTAAATATTGTAGAACAATTAATTATTAACATTACCTCTATAAGATTTTGTTCCACTACATTCAGTTCTTCTAGTGTCAAGGGATGTTCAGGATCATTAATGTTTCTAATAAGATCTATAAATTAAAAAATAGCGATTTTTAATTTGAATTAACCAAACTTTTAATGACACATACCAAAAATCTCACGCTCATCAAATTCATCCGATATGTCTTCGTCTTCGTCTTCAGCAGTAACTTGTCTTTCATCTATTTTCTTATATAATTTAGGATTAATATTTTCTAAAGTATCACCCATATTTTGAATAAAAATACATCACTATGCAAAACTTAAATGATCCGATATCTCAGAGGTTAGAATGATTAGTGATTATATACATCTATTTACGTAGATAGATACTTCATTATATATGCATTAAAATAAAAAACAATCTAACTTTACGATAATAATAACAATAAAAAGGTATTTTCAATTAGTCAAAGAGATTATATAAATAGAGTAGGCAAGCCAGATACGCACACAACTTATTGTTAGACAAAAACAGAGATACTCTCACGATTTCTTCTCTCTCTCCCGTCGCAATATCAGTGACACGTGCTTATGGTGCTTAGTTTTGGAATAATGGATTGCCTAATATATTATAAACAGCTATTATATTTTTAAACATTTTATACACAACTTTAATAACACGCCATCGAATACGTAAAATCCCATTTGGCAAATTCTTTTGTGACAAATATAAAAGGATATAAGGTGAGGTTATTTTCGTATTTCACATACCGATTTTTCGTGTCATAAAGTTAAAATAAAAACTTTTTGATTACAAATTCAGAATGGCTACATCACTTGCGGAACAACTGAAAAAGCTTAGAACGCCGCAGACTAGCATTTTGTTACAGGACAAAAAACGAGCTAGTTTATTATTTGATCCAAAAGAAGCTGCCAATTTAGATAGGGAAACAGTTTTGAATATTGGTAAGAGACTACTTAAGTTATGGAACGTTTATATATTTATTTTATTCAATAATTAAATTCATAATGTTTTCATAGGTCAAAATGGGTTACAAGAATTAGCTAAGCTATCAGATCTATTTTTAGAATTTGAGAGAACACTTTTTGCACCGAGCTCACTGAGTCTCGAACGTGCTATACAGGATGTTAAAGTTAACAAAAAATTGGATGGAGAAATTGAAAGATTTCTGATCCTCCTATCTCCATACTTTCTGCTCAATAATGCTCACAAAGCACTTGAATGGTTAATACATCGATTTCGTATACACGAGTTTAATAGGGATCAGTTTCTACTATTAATTTTACCTTATCATGAAACTCGAATGTTTGTAAGAGCATTACAGTTATTAAATCTATCAGATGCAGCTGATAAATGGCATTGGCTGGAACCCCTTCAAAAGCCTGGTGTTCCATTAGCTACAGTATCATTGATCAATCGTCTTTGTTCTGATAATGGTTTCCTAAAACTTATTTGCAATCACGTTATTGCTGCTACAAGAGTGTATTCAGATCGTTCATCTTGTTTAAGTACATTGTATGCATTTTATACCACTTCCATATTAGGGACTATTGAACAATCTCCTACTATGTCTGAAATTCAGATAAATCACATGTTACCAACCATTCTGAAAGGCTTGGAAAGTATTATATCTGATTTTGCAGCTGGTACTTACATGATTCTGGCATTGTTAATGACTAAAGTGAAATTGAATAATGAAACTACAGAGAAGTTACTTTTGAAAATATTCAAGAAAACATATTTAAAAGAGGAAGCAATGGTTTTGATATTTTTCTTATACAATGCGCCAACTTATCGACTTACTACTGTTTCAAACAGCCTCGCAAATCGATTATCAGAGCTTTCTTGGTTCATTCAACTTGCAATTAAGCTACAATCGTCCAACACAAATATATTGAAATTTATTGTGCCCTTGTTACAAACCAGTTGTCGCGTGATATTGAACAATCCGTCAGGAACAACGCGCATTCAGAATATGGTCAGTGAAATATTGACACGAATAAAGCTTGACAATAATGGGGTAGACACTATCTTGTGGAATGTTTTGGAAAAGGAGTTTCTCGCAAGCAATATATCAAATGAAGCAAAAAATTTTCTGATGCATTTGTATCAGTGCTTAGAAAAAATGTACCCTGAGAGATTTGACGATTATCTAAAGAATCTTATGAAACGCAGTGACACAGACAAAGACTCGAAATTGGCATTACAATTTCTCACTTCCTGGCATTTTGGAGCTAGAGATACACAAGACTCTGTAGGCATCCTTGACAAACTAATTCACATCAGTCCAGAACAAAGAATTATGGCATTGGAGACTTTAGCTGAAAATGATGTGAATATTCCAGAAAGTTTTCAGGATATGATGACAAATACATTGCAAGCTAGATTCAGCGACAGTGAAATTAATGTAATAAAAACTTTGCTATCCTTTCCTACAAAACGTCTGACAAGTTTACTTCCTGTTGATATGTTGATAGACGAGTTGAAGGTGTTGTTATCAAGTTGTCATAGCAGCAGTAGGAAGATTTTAGCAAAACCAGCTCTAAAGATTCTGTTGGAACTGTGCGAGGTAGGAGATGATACCAGTGTTTTCATCACATCTCTGTCATATTTGTTTCCCAATGACGACGCAGATGTGAATATCGCGATGGAAGTATTACAATCGAACTTTGCTAAGAAAAATGCTTATATGCAACACGTAAGAAAAGATTTGGGCAAATCGCCAAACGCAGAAGCAGTGTCATCTGCAGCTTTCCATAATATATTAAACTGGGAACTGTTACCTCCAACTGAAAGTATATTAAGTGCTATGAAACAACAGATTGCTCATGGTGATGCAGCTTCCATGTTCTTCAACTTAATTTTACTGGGATCTGTGTGCAGAGTTCCTGTTGGATCTTTGCAGCCAGAAATCGCGAGGGAAGTTATCGAAATGGCCACGGAAATAATTAAAAAGTATCCACAAGTCAAAATGTTGCAGAACTGTAATAATATAACAGGGAACAACATACAGACTGCTATCGAATTGACTTCACAGGGAGTCCTACCACTGCAAGTGAGCACTTATGTTTTAGAAATGGTTCATAGGCGTTTAGATCTGAAGTTGAATTCAAAGTTCGACTTTGAGAATAATCCACATCGCAGTAATTTGATTTTGAGGCTCCTAGAAATGTTCTTTGAGGGAATAGAGAACAAAAATTGGTGCAAGCATTACTGTCGATGCTTGCAGATATTCTTCCAAAGGCACTTTGCTACAGTGAAAGATTTAATCCGATTTTTGTCTCAGTTGTACATAAAACCAGTGCAAGTTCAGACATCCTTTCACTGTTTGAGAATAACTCTAGTCCTTTTGAATCAGTGCAAGTCCATGCAATGGGCGTTTCAAGATAAAATCTTCGTAACAAACTTGTTAATTTCTCTCGCCAGAGAAAATAACGATTGTCGAATAGCCGCGTTGGATATCCTCAAGAAACTCATGCAAACCTTCAACTTATCGGTCGATGGATTCTCAGCCTTACTACAAGAATTAGTAAATAGATGTCCAGAGATATCCTTAGACCCTGATCAGCTATCGTTGTCTCTTTATGTTCTACTCTCTCCAGATCCAGACGTATGTTCGCAATTAAAGTCTGACTTGCGAAAGAATCTTCAACAGGCACAAAAATTGTTGTTCGAGGTTGTCATGGACCCAGAGACTCCTATACACGTCAAATCACAACTGTTGGATATTCTGGTACACGTTAATGGGCCAACGATACTTGAACGATTAGCTCCTCTTGGACTTGAACTTCTACAAACCATATCCACCGAATCGAAGAACAAATCCGCCGGAAACGTATTAAAGAATTTACTCCAGAGATTTAACAGTTCAACGGTAAACGTTCTTACCGCAGAGCAAGTATGGCAACTGTTTCAGAACAGCATAATTGCGCACAATGCTGAGATAATTACGGAAACTGGCGTGAAATATCCACCAAGCATAATTCTCTTGAAACAAATAGAAGAGACATTTTTCGAGAGCGCTGGGAAAGTGTCACCCGAACTTCAAAAGAATATCCTCGCCAAACTGATCGACGTGGTCACCGATAGTAATATGAGCAACGTCATTTCTACAGCTAACAGAGCTATCAGAAGAATTCGTATGAATGCACAGCTTATAGTTAATGAGTTACAAACAATGAGAAATCTTAAAAACTCCCAGCCAAACGATGTCAACTCGAAGAACAAGAAACGATTGAGCCATGTACGTACCATTCCTGATCCAACGTTCATCGACCGGAGAGAATGGAAACGTGGAGTAACCCTCCTGGAATTCGTGCAGCAGGCTGATAACATCGAGCACGAGGAACTGCTTTATCCGATCTTATTCGATTTATTGAAAATGTGTCTCAGTTTCGAGGAACAGAGCCCTATAGAGTATACCAATCAATTGTTGTTGTCGACAATTCATCGACTCACGGTCAAGAAGCTACCCATACGGGACGCTCATTTGCAAGTGGACCTAATAACTCAGTGCATTAGGACTTCGAGGAATCCTCAAACCCATCATCACGCCCTGCTAGTCCTGGTGGAGCTCTTAAAAATTGTTGACGTTCGTTGCGCACTTTATACTATCATGCCCATATTCACCTTCATGGGTAGCTCGGTGGTACGCCAAGATGACGCTTATTCGATACAAATCATCTCCAAGACCATCGAAACAGTCGTTCCCATAATTAACGCAGCGGAAAACGAGACGCACGCTTGCGAAGTTTTGAGAACATTTATCGTTTCCCTGCCGGACATTCCTGAACACAGACGAATGCCTCTGTTTGTGAAACTATTACAGCTGCTAGACAATCATTTTCATCTGTACTATTTGCTCACTTTCGAGAGCCACGTTGTGTCTAGGACCATGCGTATCACAAACCAGAAGACATCTGGTCAAAGACTGGAGTTCGCTCTGCAGGTCTCACAAGAGTTTCCACCGTCCAGACTGGTGCAAGTCTGCGTGAAGCTTGCACAGTTCATGAAGGAACTGCCAGTCGATATAGAGCGGGAAGAAGACCGAAAATCTGCGTTATCTTTTAAGCACAAGCACATCTTCGACGTGGCCAACAGCAATCCCAAACACCTAAGACATTACAAGTATATTCTCGTGCAGTTCCTAAGCAACTTGTTGTCGTCGCCCGACTTCATCAATCGAGTCGCGGAGCTCAACTCCGACGAAGTGAATAACCTCAGACCGTACTACGATCAACTGATCATCGAATTGATTCTACTGATAGAGAGCGCTTCAAAGAACGCGGACAAACATCAAGGTCAAGCGATTGGGAAGTACTGGAAGGTACTTCTGCATCATCTCTACGATGTACTCGATCTTGTCAACAATTTACTACCAAACGGAATCTTCCTACTCAGCGTTAAGCGTCTAATGGAGAACGAGTTGTTGACAGTAAAGAGAAAAGCTCTGGAATTGCTCAACACGCGTCTACAGCAACGGAAATTCGGAGAGGAGGATCATATTGATTTGTTGAGTTTGGTCGGGTCCCTGGTGAAGCTAATCGAGCCACGAATGAAGTCGGAAACGCAAGAACAGGAAATTGTTCAACAGACTATTCTGATCACTCTTAAATTACTAGCCAAATTGTTAGCCACTGAACACCCCACAGTGTTCAAACCGATTCTAGAGATGACCACTGAACTTCTGCGAACAAGGGAAGGACCAGTATTAGGCAGTGCGGTGCTCTGCGTCGCAGAATTATGCAGCACAATGCGCATTCACGCCATACACTCGCTGAATAAATTCGTTCCAGCGATTCTACAACTATTGGAGAATCATTGTCACCAAGATGTGCCTGATGTGATAGTTGTCAGTATGGTCAGCGCATTGCAAAAGATAGTCGAGTCTGTGGGGAACTTTCTATCCCTATACCTGGATCAATTGTTATTTGAATTGGCTAGACTGAATTCCTTGTATACCGACACGGAACATCCAAAGATTGGTATCGTGGTGTCGCGTTTGAAAGCAACGACGCGAAAGCTTTCCAGTTGCATACCTCTACGAGTACTGCTTCCAGCAGTGAACAGGACATACGTCACATTGCTCACGAAGAAGTCGTATCAGTGTATACCAGCGCTAATGGCCGTCTTGGCGGAGTCCTTTAACAGCGTTCAACCAACTGACTTAAGTGCAGCCTTACCAGACTTGAGCGCGTTCTTCTTGAAAGTATTGCAATTTCGCGAGGACATTTCTGAAGATGATATGGAAGTGGATGGCTCAGAACTAACGTTGAAGGATGTAGTGGTCGTAGAGGAAAGCGCTAGCAAAGCACTGGTCGCTCTTGTTTTGAAACTCAGCGAAGCCACGTTCAGACCATTTTATTATAAATTGTACGATTGGGCTGCCAGAAACCCACAGTACAAGCAACGGAGCATTACGTTCTATAGGTTTGTTGATTAATTTGATACATTTTATACTAACAAGTCTACATTTTATACTAACAATTTTTTCATCTATTTACAGACTGTCTGCTAATATAGCAGAATGTTTGAAGTCGCTGTTCGTGCTCTTCGCTGGCCACTTCCTCAAACACGCGGCTGTATTATTGAGCAGTAACAATCCATCTATCACGATCGAGCCTCAAGAAATGACCCTTACTGACGATTTAAGCAAGACTGAATTAGTTGAGGCTATTTTACTCACCCTCTACCGAGTTTTCAGTTACGACGCGCATAATGTTGTAAATCAGGAGAGGTTCGAGACACTGGCCCAACCTATTGTAGATCAACTCGAGAATACTATGGGCACTAAGGAGGAATACGAAAAGAAAACAAATGAACTAGTGGTACCTTGTATTGCAGCCTTTGCTGGTGCTATTCCTGATGACTCTTTACATAAACAGCTAGTTTACCAAACGTTGCTAAAGACTAGACACGCGAAACCGTACGTCAGAAGCGCAGCACTGAATGCATTGGTAAATATAATTTTATTTTCTGTTCGGATATTTTATGAGACTGCGGTACTCCTGGAAAAATAAGTCATTTCTCGATGTTGTCACCTGAAAGCGGTCATTGTTGTACGGTTCAATTAAACATCAGGAGAAATCTTTCACTTACTCTTATCTTCCATTCAAACAGGTTGAGATTGTAAGGAAACTAGGAGAGGACTTCATGCCACTGTTACCGGAAACGATACCTTTCCTGGCAGAACTATTAGAGGACGAGGATGAAACAACGGAGAAGTGTGCGCAAAACGCAGTCCGCACTATGGAAGAAATCTTAGGAGAACCATTACAAAAATATTTTTAAATTAATTATTACGTTATACAATGAATGTACGATTATGTACATACAAGTGCGTTGGATGCAATAAAATAAACCAATTTTTACACTTTATTTTCGTTACGTGTTCACCTTACCTTAACGAACAGATTTTATTCGTTACTTTCGATCGATCAGATACTAAACAGAAGGAGACATATTAAGAAAACATCCGTTTATTCTTAACTTAGTCACAATTTGGACGAAATATAGAATATATTATTTCCTTACATTATAATACATTATCGTAAATGTGTGTGTACGTCAAATTGTGGCAGCACTAGAGAGGCGCCCGAGTTCTAACATTGAGAGCGAATTTATACGCGGCAACGAGCGCATTTTATAGTCTTTCATCGAGAGCGTCCCCGTTATATATGTGTGCGTGAAACATTTCCCGTTCACGCAACCTATTACCACGAAGAACATGATTTTGAAACGAAAAACTAAACACAAATTTCAAGGATCCCTGACTCGCCTCGGCAACGATTCCTCGCGACGATCTTCTTCGAGATCGATTTTTGGAGATCATCCTCGTACAAAAATGCAACGTAGGCCTCATCGCTGACGTTTCTGCTGGCATCGTGAACTTAATTGGTCGATTCTCACACAATTCACACCTGGGGCACTTCTACTGAATTTCGTAGGGCCATCTCCTCGCCTTGTTCTAGTGGCGGGACTTTCCTGTAAATCAAATTCAAGCGATTAGAAAGAGATTTTAAACAAATGCACTGATGATCGTATCTCGCCCATCACATGTGAATGGCGTTTCTTCAAAATGAAAAACTGTTTTTCATCGCATACCAAAAACATGAGGAGGAAGGAACTCGATAGCTAGCAGTTGTTACATGAACTTTACTCACCTTTTTCTGTACTGGAAGATAATGTAGACGATAATAGCATTGCCGACGAACAGCAGGGCAATTAGGACGGTCGGCAAGACAACGTCTGTAAGGTCGAAAGAAAAGATGCGATTAGCGAAATATCTGGCTATATGCGGATTTCCATCGTTCGTTTATTCTATTCACCGCCTCCCACCCACGCCTTCGAGCGTGGCACAGTGAACTTTGGACAGACGGTGACTAATCGGTCGAAGTTTGCCATTCCCGCGATCATTTCCGTGTTGATTGCTCTTTAATCGAGGATATAATAAATTTAAGTTTATTTCGTTTCTCTGCGCCAATGTTATGTCAGGTAATAGGATGAAACGATCAGCTTGAAAGTCAATGTCTAGTATTAATAAATCTTGAATCAATCAACGTTCTGTTTTGCTCTCACAGCTAATGGAGGACTGTATCTTTGCTAAATGCACTTAGTTGATTTCAATGGTTTTAACATGTAATTTTCTTAATTATTTAATCAACAATTACCACGAGAATGGTGCTTTACTTATCGATTACAAACGTTTTAATGTAATTACTCGCGAAACTTACACGGATCCATACACGTCAGATAGTTTATGTATCAACAACGAGGTGCACCAAAATTCGCAATGTATATTAATTACTGAGAGTTATCGATTTTAGAATGAAATTGACGTGGAAACGAACAATACAAATGCATCAACGTAAACAACGAAGAGGTGATAATGGACTAAGAAGCCATCGCAATCGCATTAATACGTGTTATCTCGAAGCTCGGTACCTTAATTTCAACAAAGCAAGGCCAACGTACTGCAACAACCCCGATAATTATTCCGTAATATTGCGATGCAAATGCAGCGTTGTTGGATAACGAATCGTGATCCCTTTTCCTCAGCTCGACAGAACGATAAATCGAATGAGGAACGAACGATAAAAATAATTAAACTCCTATCCTGAATTTACACGATTAATCAAAATACACAAAGAGCTTTTTGTGTGAAAAACCGTGTAAGAATCCGTGTCATTTATTTAATCAGTCCATTCATGAAGTAACAAATATAATTAAACTTCACCGAATTCGTAATAACTTTGTAAATGAAGTACTTTGACTTCAATAGTTTCCCTTGCGTTCGTAAATATCATTGTGTTGTATATGTAATTGGATGATGTCCGATACAAGTATCAATCATTGCGAAAGCTATGTTTAAAATAAAACGAAGCTAGGATAAGTGCAATTAATCGTAGACTTTTTTCAACGAACCATTACATTACGTAACACGCGTACGCGGAGACAGAAACTGCAATTTCAAACGTCAACTTTATTATGTAAGAATTTTTTTCTGAAACTTCGATATACCGGTACACCGTAATACAATTACCGCAAATAATCAAGTTGCATCGCAGCAAAAAATATATTTTAGTTAAAAAAAAATTTGGTACAACCATATTTCAAATTTTGATCACGAAATGTAGCTTTCCACATCACTGTGCAATGGTCAACAATTATTATCACTTGCTAATGTTATCTTATCATAAAGACGATTAGATGCCCAAAGAAACGTGACCTCTACTTCCTCGCATTTCTCACTTTTCATCTAGCTACATTTCCACATAAAAAAATTAAATCACACTATTACAGTAATTGCTCAATTTTGCTCGTACCAGGAACGACATGAGTGATAATAATAACGAACAGAATGAATTACAATTTACTTCTCGTAACGCTGATTTCGTAAATGAGTTCGATAAATGTATACTTTCAATTGGTTCATTAATATTACATTATTCTTCTAGGTATCAATCAATTCAATAAATTATCATTTTTAGTCGGTGCACCAAGATTCTTCATTTTTTTAAACTGTCGTTAATAAAAATATTCTCGAGTTAGTATTCACCATTGATGGCATCGAATTCGCTAACTAATTCAACAAATTTTCGTTCGCTAATATATCTTATTTTTAAAAAATTCAGCGTTAACGACACAATTGCACTAACAAATTCTGTACATTTTCTTTCTAATCGATTCATCAATATTCCACCGTCGTCGTTCAACTTTTTACTTGCAATTGATAGAAAATACATTTCAAAACAGTCGCATCGAACACAAACAACAGCTTCGACGGTAACAGCGACTCTCGTTGGGCAAACGTCGTCACGATTTCAGAACACAAAGATGCAAACAACTCTCGATTAAGATAACAACGGCTTCGAAAACGACTCGGTTCGAGGTACAAGGCAAAATTTGATTCGATCAATTTGAGAAAGTCGAAAGAATATTTCCAAGTTAGAGGCACTGACCTACAACGTAGTCCGATTGCTTCATCATGGCTGATTGCGCCGAATCCATAGCCTCCCTTGTGCCAGTCGCGACTGCGTCCTCGCCTCGACCGATTCTAACCCCCGCGCCAAGGACGTTGTCCCCAGATAAACTTGACAACTGATGGTGCTCGTTTTCCGTCTTCAGGATCACCGCTGACGTGGCTGTCGGGAAAGAACAAACGGAAATTATTAGACCTTAATTCGATGGAATTTTTGTTTACTAGTAAGGGGGAAAGCCACCTTGGATGCGTGAAAATCACAGCTATCAACAGGAAGATCTGTTTGCCAGCGTTTATTTGTACATATGTTAAGTAATAAAAGAATCGTTAGTATTTGGAATTTGTAAATAAAATAGCGATGTTAGAGCCATATAATAATAACTGAATTTGTACCCCTATAATACTATCATCTACCAGTGTGCAAAGTATCAAACAAATCGGTAAGCAAAACCCGAAGATCCTGCACTTTCCTTGCGAGACACCCCTGTGCACTTTGTGAGCGGAATATTAGTGCGAGCTTTATTTTGTGACCATCGAATTTCTTGCATCCCCAGTTCGCTGGTTTATCCAGAGCCTCATAATGCTATAAAAACAACTCGCCCGTGCATGGTTTTTAATTTTTCTCTTTCTACAGCGTAATAACACCGTGAGCAACGGGATGATGGTTTCCTCCCTTTGGCGAGCAACAATTACGCAGGAATACATTTTTTTCTTTCTTTTTTTTTTTTTAGCGCTCAGTTTACGATGCCAATTCACTGTAGCGTGATTACCAGAGACGAACGTTGGATTCTGGAAACTGTTTCTGTTTTTATCCAAGAGCCGCGCCCTCGAACGCTCCTACGATACTATTGGAACCACCATCGAGCGCGAGTGGAGGCAATAAAACATGTTTACGATCCCGTCTAACAGTGTTCTGGTTCCTTGTAAGCTCTAGGACCTGCGAACCTTTCGTTTGAAAGATTAACGTTCTCGTCAAGATTTATGTTTCCCATTTATGTACAGGTCGCGGTGAAGGTAAACGGCGCATTGCTATCCGCTGAGGAAATGAACATTTTGCAGACGAAGCCGTTTCGTTGTAAAATGTATAAACAAAAATCGCGTCATTTTGTTACATCGAACTACTAATTTTCCAAGTTCTCAACCTGATCTTCATTACGATTCATCCGAATACAGTCGGTACCATAAGTATTCGTACCCTTTATATCTATTGAAGAAGTTTGTCTAAATTAAACGATAGGATCTATGTTTCCAGATTTATCTTTACGCGAACTGATTTCATAAGCACTCATTTTTCTGTAAGTTCTCTCGTAATTCTTTCATTATTTTCTATCTACCACTACCAGTCGCTCCGTTTTTAATGAATGAAAATACAAGTATCGTATGAATTTATCACTATCTTCATTAATATTTCTTGCACGTAACATCGATAATTACAAAATCATGGCAAGACACGTGAATTATGTAATAATCGTGTAGCGGAATCGTTAGCAAAATTGTAACAGTTATTAATAATTACCATTGACATCTGAGAGGTAATTCCGCGTAAACACGAGAAATCGAGTTTCGAGACAGTTCGCGGTATACGAATACTTTCTCTGTCTTTTGCTGACACGTTATTCGGCAGAATAAATTCAACGCTCACTATAAATACCGTCGTTTACGTATCTGCGTGAAGACACGCATCCTTATCGAATCAGTGGCGAGAACGAAAATATAAATTTACAAGTCTGCGACATTTCGATAAGACCTCGATGTATCGCTTGGAATAAGACAAATATTTTGAGAGTTATCCGCGCCATTCGTACTGAACGTTCTGGAAGGATATTACTGTATCATGTACTGCTAAAAATAGTTTAAAGATCAATCCATTCAAACGAGGAATCAATGATTTCAAAGCTATACGGTACGATTCGTATAAAATATTTAGCAAAAGTATTGCTGACCTCTGAAAGTATTGTCACTTTACTTACAAAAATAAAGTATCCAGTACTTGAAGATAGATATACTCGTCCGAAGTACATTGAAATTGCGCTAATTGTGAGATATTATTGTATCGTATATTGCGCGAAATAAATAATGTGGGTTAACAACTTGTATACGAGTTATTTTTCAAAATTATCAAAACCCTCTGACACGTGGCCTCACTACTACTCGAGTTACTACTCAATATATGTATGATAAACGCCAGCAAACAGATTCTTCGTTAAGTCAAACGCTTTGGAAAAAAGAATTATTGAACATTTTAATTTTCACGCGTTCAAGGTGGCTTCACTCCTTAAAAACTTTGACAGATGTAGCTCGAGCTCCCAGCAGCTATCGCGCAGAAATAGATTTTCAATCTCTCATTTCCAGCATTCGAGCAGAATCTCCGTTTCAATGATACGTAAAGGCAAAGTGCATTTTCGCGGCTCAAAGGAATTCAGTTTATTGAACCATTATGCGGCTCTGAACTCTCTGAAGTTTCGCGGCGTCTAATGATTTAATGACTCGTGGAAACATAATGC